CCTGATGGAGCCGAGGTGAAGAGTAAATGTGTGCTCAGATGGTGTTTGTTGAGTGAACCGACTCTTTGAGACTCGGTTTGCCACCTGTACATTGAGGGAGCGCTCTCCAAGCTCTGGTCCCCCAGCCGAAGCAGGTGACAGGGAGGCTACACCCAACTCAGAGTGAAGAGTAGGGCATGTACTGGATGCCACAGTGAGCCCAGCTGAGACATGGTCAGTTGGGCAGGGCAAGGCCTTCCCCTCTCGGCCTCCCGACATGGCCTGGGCCATTGCGAGCCAGGATTGAGGCGTCCAGAATGAGGTGCCATTGCTAAGGCCCCTTCCCTTCCACCCCCAGGAAGCAGATGGGCCAAGCTTGGGCGGGCGGCAGATACAGGCCTGGCATTTGTGTATGTGTGTGGTTTTTTAAAAAATCTGACACATTTTTGTCACGTCTTGGTTCATCAGCACAGTAAAGGAGGCGGGAGTGTGAAGAATGTTTTAACTCGCAACTTTGTAAGAGTTCCAGGTTCTCCGGGGCTCCTCCCCCTCCCTCCAAGCCCCCGCAGTGGAGCCTCCAAGCCCATCTGTTCCACAGTCCTTGCTCCCTGCCCCCATCTACCCATCCAGCCCTCTTTCAGTCGAGAGGAGACATAATTGGAGACAGCGGCTTGGGACTCTGAAAATGGGACTCCTAGGAGAGGAGACAAGGGCTTATGCTTCTCAGCCCTACAGGACCCAGACTTGCTATTTGACCTTGTGTAGTTTCTACACTCTGTGACCCGTTCATGTGTTCCTGTGGGGTCTGGCCCACTGCCTTTGGGGTTCTCTGGCTCTGACATGTATAGAAATGTCTGCTAGAAGAGTTAGAAACAAGAAAGATGTAAGTAGAACTCACAGAGGAAACGGAGTGCATAGCCTCCAGAGAAAACAGGTACAAGAGGAGCAGATAGATCAACCCGCACTCCTCATCCTCAACCTGGCCACACCCACCCAGGAAAGAAGATGGCCCAGGGCTGAAGTCTGAGGAGGCCACTTTGGGGTCAGGTGAGGAGGAGATAGGAAGCACCGGGGACTTGCTTCTCTTCAGCTTCTTGGTACCACAGAACCCCAGCAAAGGATGCAGGGTGGGTGCCAAGCCCGAGAAAACTGCTCCTCAGCCACCAGCCCTGCAGTCCCCAACCCTGGCACTAGTTTCCACTACATTAGTTACGGAAATGCCAGCTGGCCTGGAAAAGCAGGGCTGTCTACAAGGCAGGCTGGCAGGCACTGCCCCGGTGGGCATGGGAGGTTCGGGGCGAGGGAGGGGCGGTGCCCTACGGCATCTCAGTAAGGCTGGGCCTGCTTCTTCATTCCATGGCTCAGAGGTCAGGGCTCTGGGCACCTTCACCATTGCTTGGTAGGGTGGGGTAGGTGATTATGGTACCGTTGCCAGGGACAAGAAAAATAGCCCCTGGTTCCACTTCTGATCCCCATGCACTTCCATACCGGGAACTCCCAAACTCAGGGTTTACATCAGAGAGTAAAGGCGGAGGGGGCAAGAGGCAGGTGAGGCCCACCTTGGAAAGCACCAGCTCATTGCTGGCCACAGAGAGCCCTACTTGGTGCTGAGACAGCTCCTGAGTACCAGCCCACGTTCTGGTCCCCTGCATGGGCTGCCAAAGAGCAGCTGAGGGATCCAACATGCCCCGCATGGCAGCCCCAGTCAGACCCAGGGCCGGCTGAGTCAATGCGCCCTGCTCGGATCTCACCATATGGGCGCTGGGCGGCTGCAGGGGGTGGAGCTGGAGTTGCCATGAGAACCCGCACATTGGCATTTCCTCTTTTGGGAGGCTGAACCATGTTCCTCAGGCAGTGTAGGCTTCTGAATCCCATTTCTCTGTGTTTTTAGGAAGGGAAAAAGGGCAGGGGAAGGGGGTGGAAGAAGGCGAGGAGGGAGGGTGGCGGAGTCAGACTGACTGTTCTGAGGGAGCCGCTGGCTGTCTGGGCTGCTGAGGATGGATCAGGGGCCACTCTTCCTATGGGCTCAGCCCAGGGCCAAAGCAGGACCTCAGATCCCTTCTGATCACTCGTTCTGGCCTTGAGTAAATGGTTTCCCTAAATCACATGACCTTGCCTTGTCTCCTGTCTGAGGTCTCTGATTCCCTGAACCCTTTCTGAGGACTGTACTCTCTCATTCCTGTGCCTGGCTGCTCAGCGCTGTGGAAAATGACATAAAGAGCATTTAAAAGTAGAATACGCAGGCCATACTGTTAAAACCTTAGTCCCTGCAACGGACCGATACCACCAACCTGGGGGCTTCCCATGCACCTGGGGAGAGATCCAAGCAGATCCCATTCTGTGACGCTGCTTCGGTATGATAGCTCAGGACATGACTCCAGCAACAGGTGGATTAGCGAGAGGGCCCCAGTCCACCTGAGCAGGGTGTGGTATGGGACTTGGTGTGACCAAGCCCTGGGGAGGAACTGCCTGGGCAGGAAGAAGAGTAGGTGGCCAACAAGTAGGAAATTTGGGGCAGAAAACCAGATATGACCTATCCCACTTCTCCAGGCATGAGGCAGGTCAGGCCACACTGCTGCCTGGTCTCTAGGGGCCAGGGAGGAGTCCCTGAGATAAAAGTGTGCCCAGGGGCTCCAAAGGAGGGACATCTGGCTTTTTTCCCATGAAGCTGTGGGGTAGGAAGGTGGGGCAGTGGGCCTGCCTCCAGCAACAACAGAGCTTAGGTGTGGAGTCCTACTGTGTGCCAAAATCTCACTTCGTTTCTGAAATAACCAGAGGGAAGGGCGGTATTGACTCGTAAGAGGACTGCGGCTCAGAAAAGGCTTGCAGTTCACCAAGGTCACTCTCCTGGGGAGCAGCACTGTCAGTGTGTCCAGCCTCTGACCTCTGACCTTCAGGCCTCACCATCTCGATGCCTGGCAGACCACTATGAAGGCTGTGGGCCACAGTGCTCAGCAAGGAGTAGAAGATGAGATGTGGACAGTGAGTTCAGACCCTGTCCCCACTGCCTAGGGACACTGTGTGACCACATCTGCCCAGCCTAGGGTAGCCACCAGAGCCTCGCTTGGAAAGGACATGGTCCTGGTATCACATGGATTGGGGTTGAGCCCTATCTTCCCCGATGACCCATTCTGGCTCCCACGGCACGCTGTTGAACTTTCCTCAGCCTCCACGTCTTCGTCTGGAGAAGGGGGGACCACAGTGGCACTGTGCCAGTCAGACTAGATGGCTAAACTCCTGGGACTTCAAACAACACAAGCTCTCCTTTCTCAGCCTGTTCCATGGACTAGCTGGGTCTCATTGTCACTCAGGACCCCAGGCTGATGGCTCTCCGCCATTTTAACTCGTAGATCCACAGTTGCCGTGACAGCAGGAAGAAGCATGACCAGTTTCTCTTTCGACTCATGTAACTTCCACTGAAGTTTCATTGGTCAAAGCATGTCATGAGCCACGTGTAGCTCCAAAGGGGACAAGGAACTACAAGTCTTAACCACATGCTTAAAGAAAAAGAATCACCTAGAGAATTGGTAAACACCTCTTCACGATGGCCTCAGGCACCTGCCACACAGGGATGCTGTGAGCACTGATTGAACTGAAGGAAATACACAGAATGTACCTAATGAATGTGAGCTCCTTTCCCCTGGGCCCCCAACTCCAGGGGGACCCACCTCCCTCCTTTCCCTTTTCTGGCCACGTCCCTCAGATAAATCATCAACATTGACAGTCCCTACTTCAGAGATGAAGACCTTTAGCTTTGGAATGGAGACAGATGGCAACTTCCCCAGGGTATAGCATCATGGCAGCTGGGGCAGGAAGAACAGACAGGTGCCTCACTCTGCTGAGTCCCTTTTCCAGCTCAGAACCTCTTTTAACAAATGAAAAAGCAGCAGATCCTGGTGATACCTTAACTCTATTAAGGACTTCATAAAACCCAGATCAAATTACATCTCCTGCAATCGAACAGTAAATTCGATTCCATTCAACACCATGAGGGCCTAGGGGGTCTGGGTAGCCCACTTGACTGGGGACCTGCCTCTCAATTCACAGGAAGATGCCACCCTTCCTGACATAGGTCTGCCCTAGAGTTTAAGATCCATGAGTAAGTAAGGCCTGGTGTGTAGGGAGGGAACAGTGGAGAGGGATAATGGCTTAGGGCTTTGGACCACTCAAGCCCAAGTGAACCAGAACAGAAACCTGGGTTTCAAGACACCTGGAATCCAGAGCCACCTCGACTCTGGACCTGAGTCCACAGCCACAGGGCCATGGCCTTGGGCAACTTCTCTTTGGGTTTCAGTCTTCTACCAGAAATGTACTCAGTCCCCATCACCACCTCTGACCTTAGGCTTCTGAGGGCACCTCTCCTCAAACTCAGGAAACCGCAGTGGGCGTGAGGGCCTTACCCATTTTCCCTGCCTTTGACCTTTCCCCACTGGCCAGGCCCTGTGTGCTAGACCCTGCTCTGCCCCACAGGAACTCAGTCATGGAAGGACAGAAGACTGAGCATCTGTGGTAGATGAGTGGCAGATGTCACCCAGAGGAGATATTGACATGGGGGAAATGATTTACTTGTTCTACACACACACCACACACACACACACACACACACACACACACACACACACACACACACACACACTCGATGTGCCTTCCTCAGCTACAGCCACAGGCAAGAGATGGTGGGTTTGTTTGAGAAGAGAGAATAGCCGTCAGCCACCATCTCACAGTGCACTTCTGGAAGCCCAGAGTGGCTTCTGAGTCTCCAGGGACTCTGGAATGAGACCCCTTCTACCCAGTGAATCCCCATCAGCAGCAGGAGTAGTACCAACTCTTTCTGGCACTTTTCCTTGATGAAGCACTTTGTGTCTGCCTTCTTATTTGATCCCCACAGTGGCCCTGTGAGGGATGCTTCTGTCCCATCGTGTTCTTAATTCAGAGAAGACAAAAGATCTGCCTGAAGTCAGTTAGTAACGACCTACCCTCATGCTGGCTGACTCCCTGGTCTATTTGTGCCTGCCTTTCAGGTGTCACGTGAGCCTCCCTCTGGGATCTGGCATGAAGGAGAAATGGATTCTGGATTTTCCACTCTGGCTTTCCCTGACTTCTCCAGAATTTAAGAAGCACCCTGAGGCCTCTCTTGCTCAACCTCAGCCCAGAATCCCTGAGGATCAATCCAGAGACCCAAAGACTTCAAGACCTACAAACACCAAGCCCCTTTCCCTGGACACAGACTGGACAGAGCTGACCAGTTCATCAGGTAAAGAGGCCAGTGTGGCACTGACCAGACTGGTACCACCATCTTTTGTTTGGGGGAATTCTGCTGATGGAGCACACTGAAGCTCGGGTGTGCTTGCTCTCCATCTGAAGCTGTTTGCATGGTGTGACTTCCAGAATCATGAGTGAGAGATAGCACATGCATCAGGCCCTTGCTTGTTAGTGCCAATCATGACTGAAAGAAACTCTGGGTCAAGACGGTCCCAGTACTAGCCACAACTTCATACACATTTGAGGTTTGGTTATTTGACCTTCAGAAGGAGCCAGGGCTATGTTTTCTAGATCTTGCTTGTCTATAGTTCTGGGTACGGCCCAGGTCATGCAACACTCAGATTCCCTGAGCTTCCCAGAAACGCTATCACCTGCCATTTTTAGATCAGTTGGGTTTCATTAGCTTGTTTAGCTCTTTCAATGCCAGGCTGCAAATTAGTGGAGAGAAGGTGTTAACTGCCTCGTAGGTTCCCATGCAGCTTTCTGAACACTATTCATTCAGTCTCTGTCACTCATTCTCTTACTGAGAACATATTGATTGACTGTCCCGCCCTGGGATGCAGGGGTGCCAGAGGCAGAACTTGCAGTTACATTTCCATAAACAGAGAGCTCCTTCTGCCTCCAGTTTGTTCCCTAAACATGACTTCCGTGAGGCTAGGGAGATAGCTCTATGGATGAGGTTCTTGCTATGCAATCGTGAGAGTTGGTCCACATCCTCAGAACGCACGAGAAGGCTTTAATCCCTGCAGATTCTCTGCATCCCCAGAGCAAGCTGGCTAGCTAAACACGGGCAAGCTCTGGATTCAACTGAAAGACTCTGCCTCAATCAATAAGGTGGAGAGCAGTCAAGGCAGACCCCTGACGTCAGCCTCAGGCCTCCATACGTACACAGACATACATGCAGTTACATACATACATACACAGTTACACATGCAGGGGGAAAAATGCTTCTGTGCATGAGTGTGCATGCATGGATGGATCTACCATAGCTGCTTTTCCAATGAAGGCTTTCCTTCTCCATGTGTCTCTGTGACTGATCCTGACCTGTGAAGCCCACCATTGAGACTAAAGTACTCTAGATCCAGGAAACACCAGCTTGGCAGAGGCTCGGGAGTGGCTGAGGACCGCTACCAGAACCAAGCCTGTACACACCAGCCTACCCATCACCTCCCCGACCCCCATCCTCACCCCATCCTCTGTGTTGCCCACACATGACCTGTCTCCTCTCTGTGGGAACCCTTCAGACTGCCTTGACTGTGCCCCCATCCTGAGACTACCACATCTTTGACCTGACCTCTCCACGACACAGCTCCTGTCTGTCCCTTCCTCACCCTTCAAGTGACTTCCAGAACAGGAGGAAACTGGGATTCAGGACAAGGGTCCTGCCTGGATTGGACCCATATCTGGCCTCTGAACTCCAATGGGCTGACTCACTGCTCAACCCAGACAAAACCTGCAGGGTCCAGGTTGCCCCCTGCTGGATGCCCAGAGTTGCCATGGCGACCCTCTGCCTGTCTTCCCAGCATGGAGACAATCAAAAAATAACAGCAAGGACTCTTGTATTCTGTGACCCACCTGGGAGCCATTTAAACGTCTTTATTCCTTTTGACACATACTCATTTTTTTTTTTTTGGCTCTTAAGATTATCTTGAAAACCCCCCTCACTTTTAGGCTCCATGGCATGGCTTCCAAAAGCCTTCGGTCTTACACACACACACACACACACACACACACACACACACACACACACACACACACACGCAGGTGCACATGCTGTGTACTTGTTTACACACCACACTGGAAACAGTAAATTGGCCTCCTGGTGCTTCAACAGCCGAGCTACAGGGAAGGCTTGGCCCCTTCTCTTCATCTTCACACCACTTTACAGTTTGCAAACACCTCTCCCACCTAATAGCATGCAGATCCATATGGGTACCCTCATCTCATCTCTATGGTTGCCTATGAGAAGACAAGGTCACCTGGTGGCTAAGCAGGGCTGGAACTAAACCTTCCAGACCGTCCTGTTCTCCGTCACTTCCTGCTGTGAGCAATGACAGAGTGTGAGTGGGGAGTGAGTTCCTTTCTTTTTCCCTCCTGTTCTCCCCTTCCCCCACCATGAACAGTGTTGGGAGCTGCTGCATCCAGGGGACCCCACAAAGCCCTTACCATCCTCCTGGTTGCCTGGTTCCTGACCTCTCCACTGGAGCCTTCCCCACCCATGCTCTGGCACCAGCTGGCCAAGCACCTGGGAACTACCTGTCCCCAGCTTCCTCTGTACCCACCCCACGCCATGTCCTTCGGTTCTTCCTTGGCTGTGCCCTGGTTTTTGTTCTCCCAAGCCTGTCTTCCAGACATGTCTTTAACTGACTCCTCTGTCATACCAAAGAACTGATGTTGAGCACAGGCATCACCACATAGCCTGTTTGTTTTAGATTCATGACCAATTTCATAGGCCACATGTCGACCAAAAGCTTCCCACCGTGTGGTTAAAACACTTACACGCTGGGCAGCCAAGGAGGGCTCTGAGTCTACAGAAAATGGAGATTTCTGTCCTTATAATTCCATGTCTGCTCCAAGTGAGGGGAATTCCTCCTCTTGAAGGCATTTCCCTGACGTGTGTGTGTGTGTGTGTGTGTGTGTGTGTGTGTGGTTTTGTTTTCTTCCAGTGTAGAGGACTGAATTCAGGGTCTTGCCCATGTTGGGCACGTTCTCTCTTATTGAACCACACTCTCACTGCCCCCCTAACTTTGGATTTTTTTTTTTTTTTTTTTTTTTTGGTTTTTCGAGACAGGGTTTCTCTGTGTAGCTTTGCGCCTTTCCTGGTACTCGCTTTGGAGACCAGACTGGCCTCGAACTCACAGAGATCCGCCTGCCTCTGCCTCCCGAGTGCTGGGATTAAAGGCGTGCGCCACCACCGCCCGGCTAACTTTGGATTTTAATTGCACAGATCAAGATCTACCACAGGTTTGGTGAGATAGCTCAATCAGTACAGTGCTTGTGAGGACCTGAGTTCAATCCCCAGAACCTACATTATAAAAAAAAAAAAAAAAATCTAGCATGGAAGTACATATTCATATTCCCAAAGTAAGAGAGGCAGAGTCAGGTAGACCCCTGGGGCTCACTGGCCAGCCCTCCTTGTCCATTCAGTGACCAATGAGAAACCTTGTCTCAAAATACAAGGTAGACAACACCTGAGGAACAACACCTAAGGCTGACCTCTGACCTCCACATGCACATGGGTGCTGAGCTGAGAGCCTGCAGCCTTGTGGGGGTCCAGAAACTGTGCAGGATTCTCGGGACATTAATAGTGACAACAGGTTTAAGTCCTAGGCCTGGTCTCTGCTGTCCATCTTTTCAGATCCTCTGTTTAGCAGGGGAAGCACACTAGGAGTCCAGGGGAGCAGGGCCCTGCCTTAGATCTCCAGTCCTGCGGAATTAGATGAGGAGGATGGCCCTTGGGAAAAGACTCAGGCTGGCCAACACGGTCCTTGTGACTCAACCCCACATTACTTGTTCCCTGAGACTCAGTGTACCCTGGTTCCTCTTTTCACAGTAAGGTCGCTGAGACCCAGAGAAGGTGACCAGAGGCTAAGATAGGCTTGGCCTTCTCTGCCCTCTCCCCCTCTGGCCACGGGAGTCAGGCCAGGCACGCTACAGCAATCAACCAGTGTGGTAATGCAGCCTAACCCCAGTTTAAGAGTATGGAAAACCGTGAGGTCGTGGGGTCAAGTCTCACTTAGGGAGGGAGGGACATCTTTCAGAATAGCCATGTGCACATTTGAGCCTTAAAGTGTCGCCAGCCATGTGTCTGACTCAGAACCACCACATGCTCCCATCAGCCACTGTGCTGGCACACAGCAAACTCTCCTTAAACGCTCGCTTCTGTGTGGACGTAAACTCAGTGGCTACTGTATCTAGGTGACCTTGGGGCTCAGCTTCCTCATCTGTAAAATGGGATTGATGACACTCTGAAGGCCCCAATTCCAAGCCCCTCCCCATCTACCACCATCCCTTCCCCAGAACAGAATCCTAGGAGAAGGCGTCGAAGAACTAGATACCTCCCTGTCTGTCTGTCAATCCATCTGCAATGGTGGCATCAGTTTTCATAGAGGAGGAGAATCTGCAAAGTAGTCAGAAAAAATATTTCCTCTGTGACTCCAGCAGCCCAGCTGTTCTCTTTCAGGAAAAGTGCTGAGGGCGAAAACCACAGGAACAATGATGGAGAGACAGGGAAGTGGGGTGGGGGAGGGCGGACCGAAGTGAAGGGCACTGGGTGGGGCCGCCGCGTGGAGCACAAGGTTTTTGCCAGGGCCTTTCCTGGGCCACCTGGAACAGCATCCAGCAAGACTGCCATTTGCCCAACAGCTGCGGGGATCCACCGGCCCCAGTGTGCCTGTCCTGTGGAACCTGGGTTCAAAGGCAGCACCGACGGGAAAAGACAAGTGTCACTTGTCAGTGTACTTGTGAGTCGTCTGCCTGGAGGAGGCTCTTGGTCCCTGTGGCATCTCAGCATGGAGTTAGAAAGGTGCCCTGTGTTGGGGAGGGAGGTCCTGTGGAGAGTATTCACGCTTACTCAGCCTCTAGACCCACTCAGGACCATCATGGCCCCTCCACGGGCCTTCTTCAGACCTGGCTCTTCCATCGTTCCCACTTCGTACTTGCTCTTCTCGGCTTCTTTGACTGCCCATGCCCCTGCCTGCAGGCTGAGTCCCTCCCCTCCACAGGCTCCTCGAGGAAGGCCCTTGCCTCTCTCCTCCTTGTAGCTCCGGCCACTCTTTGCCTCCTGTCAGACCCTCCTGTGAGCAGGCTTACCTCTGCTCTGGCCCATGCTGCCACAAAAGAACCAGTGTGCTCTTAGCTCTTGCTCTTGGTACCAACTGGCCAGGTCTGCCATAGACAAGCCCTGGATGGAGAGCTTTGGGGTTGGTGTTCTCTGCTGGCCATCCCTGCCTTGCCCACCTCCGGATCCCCACTAGTGTGGCCGTTCTGGAG